ATTTTTCTCTTTCTTTCTTTCTTCTTTCTTTCTTTCTTTCTTTCTTTCTTTTCTTTTTTTCTTTTTTTTTTTTTTTGACATACCGTGTTTCTCCGAAAATAAGACATCCTCCGAAAATAAGACCTACTTACAGGTTTCCTTCGGAGTGAAATATAAGGCATCCCCCCAAAAATAAGGCTCCCCCCCTAGGCTAAACATGAGTGATTTGGTCCACTGATTCTGAAAGAAATGGAGTCACAAGAAATTCACCAGGAAATTCAGGAATTGGATTGTTATGATGATGTTCCAAAAGATGATGACATGATTGTCATTGAATAAATGAGTAAATTCTTGATACTGTAAGATTCACAGTTTGTCTGGTTTGTGTTGACAACTACCGTCCTACCATACTGTATACAAGTAATAAATTCCCTTTATTTTCATTTAACAATAAACGTGTACCGTATTCTTCTTCATGGAAAAATAAGACATCCCCTGAAAATAAGACCTAGTGCATCTTTGGGAGCAAAAATTAATATAAGACACTGTCTTATTTTGGTGGAAACAGGGTATTAAAGGTAGGTTTATTCCCCAGTAACAAGCGGGACTCATTATGGAGGTAGAGAAATCAGAATTAGAGGAATGGGGAAGGAGAGACCCAACTGGGTTGACTTGCAGACGGAGCGAGAACAGCCCTGACAAGTGATATTTCAAAGATATTTGTTGGATGGAAGAATGATGATGTTGAGTAAGGTTTGTGGAAGAACTCACTTACTGACCATTCCCATGGGCTGAGCTATGATGTCCCTTTGCCTGACCTGGCCATTCATTATTCCCATCACTGACCCTCTTTTTTATATATAGAGGCCCAGTGCACAAAATTTGTGCATGGGTAGGGTCCCTAGGCCTGGCCAGCAATCAGGGCTGATCAGGGCCTTCTGGCTACCAACTAGGGCCTTCCTTCCAGCAGCCAGCCAGGGCCTCCCTTCCCCAACTGCCCGTTGCTGACCAAAGCCTTCCTTTGTTTCATGCCAGCCTCGGTGGTCAGCACACATCATAGTAAGTGATCGAACTCACGGTCTCCTGGTTGAACTCCCGAGGGGACACTTAGCATATTAGCCTTTTATATATATAGATATCACTGATCCTCTTACAGGAGAAAAGTCCAACATGAAAATGAAGCAGAGAGGCACATGGTAGGCTTTTTCTACTGGGTGAAAATGTGCATAGGGATTTGTTTGTAGAATGTTTTGAGACCTAGAGTTATCTTATACCCTTCTCTTTCCCCAGGTACCAGCACACAGCAGGTGCTTAAAAGTGTTTGAAAATGAATGAATAAACAAGTGGCCTTTTTTTACACTCCTCAACTACTAACTCTGGACCAGCCCCCTTCCTACTGGGGGCTGGGAGGGTCAGTATATACCACCCTCAGCAGTTTAGTCTGCAGTGTTTCTTCTCCTACTCTGATTCCCAGGTCAATAACTAGGCTTGGAATTCAATTCAAATGAGCAAGTACCAACTCTTTCTACAGCTCTCTGGTACCCTCGCCCCTCCCTTAGCTCCCTGCCTGGAATCCCGTGGAATTAGAAACTGAAATTTGCTTCAGTATCATCCTTCAGTGACTCAAGTACTACTACTGCAAGCTCCTGTGTCCAATTTCTAAAAATTATTTGCTGTCTTCTCTTTTATTTACTTGCTGGGACCTCTTGCAATTGCCCATCTTTTCTCTTGAAGGTCTGCCGTGGTCTCAGGGTCCAGAATTGCTCCTTCCTGACTTAGTTCTCCAACTACGCAGCCATGGTCATGGCAGCAAGGGTGGTGGTGAGCTGGAGAATGAGTGGTTAATGGTATCAGTTTATGCAGGAATTCCTAACCTTTGTCAAGGTTCCCAACTCATTTGAGAGTCTGATGAGAGCAACAGACTCTGTCCCCAAAACCTCCCAGATGTAACATTTTGTGTATTGGAGAAAATAGTCTTAGAGAGTCTCAGAATGCCCTGAAACCTGATCTTGGACATCCCTCTGGCCACTGCCCAGGATGCCAAGCCACATATGATATTTATGCATTTTCTTTTTTACCCCATGGTCCTCACTATGAGTTTATTGAGGTCTTGCTATGTAACAATTCACCCAGTTATTCGTTTATCAGTACTTTATTAACAAACTATTTTATACCAGGCATTGCTTTTTGTACTGAAGATATAACAGTTATTTTTTTAAAAAATACAACTCTTTACTGAGGTTATAGTACAGAGTCATTAATTAAGTAGTCACACGAATGTTAAATTAAAAACAGGGACTTTGAGTGGATGTTTCATTTCATGTATCTTCTTTACCTAATGTTTCTGGAAGATTCCAGTGAGGCACTGGTAGCAAACACACACTGTTTGGTACCTGATCTAGGTTCAGATTCTGGCTCTGTTTCCTTATTAGCTGGGTGACCTTAGACCAGTTAACCGGCTTCTCTCAATTCCTTGTCGGTAAAATGGGGATGAGAATGTTGACCTCGCAGGGCTGTCTGAAGGATTTAAACATGCAGTAAATAGAAAGCACGGCCTGATACTTGCTCATTTGAATTGAATCCCAAGCCTAGTTATTGACCTGGGAATCAGAGTACGAGAAGAAACACTGCAGACTATACTGCCGAGGGTGGTATATACTGACCCTCCCAGCCCCCAGTAAGAATAGGGCTGGTGCAGAGTTAGTAGTTGAGGAGTGTAAAAAAAGGCCACTTGTTTATTCATTCATTTTCAAACATTTATTAAGCACCATTTACTTATGGGAAGCTGCTGTAATTGTGGATAGAAGCCATTTTACCCAGCTCCTTCAGCTTAAAAATCCTTTGCATGGATCCTCTTTCTCTCAAGAGCACTTGTGCTGTAACTAGAGAGGAAGATTGAGATGTTTCTGTGGAGGAGGGGAGGGTGAGTGGGCTCAACATGGAAGTGTGGGAGAGGAAACCAGCTGCTAGTGACATCAGACTCGGACCCAGTGAGGGGCCGTGAGCCCCACGGAAGGGCCACAGTCAGAGCTCATGGGTCCAGGCAGGAGCTGATGGCAGGGTCACGCTGCAGTTTGAAAGGGGAAGCCGGCCAGGCTTTGGGAGCCCACTGAAGTGGAAAAGTTAATGCTTAGCAGAGGGAGGGTGATGACTCACGGCTTTGCGATGCTGAGGTCTCGGAAGAATGAGGTGGTGAGTCCCACTGCCAGCCGTGTGCTGGGAGCCTTACCAATGTCACATTCTACTGAACAAAACACATCACCTCCTACATTTCGCTGTAGTGGAGCGGAGGCTGAGGATTGGTTCAGAGTGTGGCCACCAACAAGAGACTGCCTGGGTTCAAATCCTGGCCCTGCTTCTTACTAACTGGGTGACGATGAGTACGTTCTCCTTTCGTTTCCTTAGCTGTGAAAGAGGGACAGAAATAATTGTACATACATACCTCCTAGGGCTTTTAAGGGGAATAGAAGATGTGAGAGAATAGAGAATATATATGTTGGTCTCTTCCTGCAACCCTGCTCCTGGCACAGGGCTCCTAAAACCCTTGTAAATTCCTTCGTGATACAAGCAGTAGGAGCATGTCTTGGTCTAGTAGTTGACCCTGTGAATTGGGGGAGGGATGAAGGAGGGCGGAAGGGGGGAAGAGGAGGAGAGAATGCGCCCCCGGAAGAGAGCTGGTCACAGAAACACCAGGCCCGAATGAGAAGCTCGGATTTTTCAGCCCCACCCCCACTCTTCAAGGTAAGGGAGCACATTCATGTACTGGGAGGGTGATGCACCCTAACTCCGTGGGGACAGAGCTTGGGACCCTCTCAGACCTTGCTGTAGGTATCTCATCTGGCTGTGCATCAGCATCCTTTATCACATCCCTTCATAAACTGGTGACATGAGTGTTTCCCCGAGTTCTATGAGACGCTCTCGCTAATTAAAGGGGGTGGTTTGTAAGTGAACTGTCAGAAGCACAGCTGACAACCCAGACTTGCTTTTGGTGTCTGATGTGGGAGGGGCGGCCGTGCTGTGAATTACCTTGTGCTGAGGCCTGTGGGAGGGAGTCCAGCTTAATCTTTAATCTGTATCAGGCTCTTGACCACATGCAGAGGCAGCCTGGACTTCAGAGCTGAAGCTCCAGGTCCTACCAGTGCACCTCTGCCACGTGTGAGCTCAGACATCTTTCTTTTTTAAAAAAATATATTTTGTTTGTTTGTTTGTTTTTACAGAGAGGGAGAGGGATAGAGAGTTAGGAACATCAGTGAGAGAGAAACATCAATCAGCTGCCTCCTACACACCCTTACTGGGGATGTGCCAGCAACCAAGGTACATGCCCTTGACCGGAATTGAGCCTGAGACTCTTCAGTCTGCAGGCCAATGCTCCGTCCACTGAGCCAAACCGGTTAGGGCTCAGACACATTTCTTAACTCCTTTGGGTCTCGTGTCCTCATTTGTAAAATGGGGACACCTGCCTGCCAAAGGTTAGCTTTGTTGGTTTCTTTCTGCAAAAAGCTGGAGGGACAGAGGCCCTGGGTAATTTTGGTCTACAGTAGGGGTGTCGAACTCAATCAGAGAAGGGGCCAAAATCTAAAATCCAGCCTAAATCGCGGGCCGAATGGTTTACTGAACAGTCATAAACTGTCATTGTGATGGAAACGCAGCGGAGTGCAGTGATGACAGCGCGGTGCGGGCCACATTGCAAGGGCTGGCGGGACGGATTTGGCCCTCGGGCCTTGTGTTTGACACATGTCGTCTACAGGAACTGGTGAGGGAGAGGCAGGGGATTGCAGTATTTCCACATTTCCATGATTTTGAGTCCCCCATCCCTAGACCTGGGGATGGGAAAAATGTGTTAGACCGAAACCTGCTGTTGGGTTTGGAAAACTTTGATTCAGGTCTCCCCTCCCTTAGACAGATGAAAGGGCCACGCAGGCACACCGCTGGCCTTCAGGGAAATGTTCTTTGAACATTTGAATGGTACCTGCTCTAAAAATACTCCTAATTGATTGGTATCTCTTATTTTTTATTTGCAGATGAGAAAAAGAAAACAAAGAAAATTGATAATGAACTCAACCCTGTCTGGAATGAGGTGACTTTATTTTTTTTTTCTTTTTCAACTTTGTTTCAACGGATAAACTACTTCTGGATTACCCCATCTTTGGTCAGAGATGAACACTTCCCTTTGGAAGGAGAATCTCTGCATTTTCCACCCCCCGCCCATCCCCCTTCCGTCTCCCTTTGTGGCCAAGGAGACAGCAGAGCAGTTCAAGGAGACAGAGCACAGTGGCATGTCCTGTGCAGTGGAGGTGTGGGTTCTAGCCTGCAGCAGCCTTGAGCTTGCCTTGGTCCAGTCATGTTGCCTATTTGGGCACATCTGTAGAGCTAGGGGTGGTATTAGAACATCTCAGAGTCCCAGAGGGAACGCTCCATAATTAAAACCATATCTGTGTGTGACTCAACAGGAATGTATTACATGATACTTTGTGTGTCTGGCTGAGTCAAAACATTTACTGTTTTTATTTTGATAAAATAATATATATTTAACATGAAAATTTTGGAAACTTCAGATCAGCATAAACAATGACATTTGGCCCTGGCTGGTGTGGCCAAGGATATTTTTTCCATTAATTTTTAGAGAGAGTGGAGGGAAGAGGGAAAGTTATATAGAGAAAAACATTGATGTGAGAGACATATCGATCGGTTGTCTCCTGCAAGTACCCCAACCAGGGACTGGGATGGAGCCTGCGACTGAGGTACATGCTCTTGACCAGAATCGAACCTGGGACCCTTCAGTCCAGAGATTGATGCTCTATCCACTGAGCAAAACCAGCCAGGGCTCAAGTAAACTTAATTGCAGTTTTATAACTGACACCTAACCAAATGAAATGCCAACCCCAAACCTATTAGGATTGGTGGGTGTGTTCTAATAAGAGCGATGAGACAATTTTCCATCCATTCCAGACCTATTTAAGGAGAATTAAATCTTCAGTAGATACTGCTTTATTTAATTCATTTATTACAGAATCAATCAAAGGCATCACTGTGTTGATTTTTTTTTTTTTTTTTTTTTTTTTTACATTTGTCAGTAGACAGCGCTTTTTTGCATTAAGATGAAAGTCTCATCTGCCTACAGCTCTGGCCACAGTGGGACATTGAATGAGGGGCTGATGCATTTTAGAAAATGTTTTCTAGATCATTCCTTTTGGATAATATTATGTTTAGGAAGAGCAAGTAATTTAAAAAGAGCCACTGAAGAAAACATTTTCTCATCTACATTTTATTTTATTCTTGCAACAGTTGTGGTGGGCACTGTCAGTTCTCAGACTATGAGGTAGGAGTTGGTGACGTGTCCAGAGACACAGAGCCTGGTAAATGGGAAGCCAGGAGTCACCACCAGGTCCTCAGAGGCTAAGTCAGGTTTGCTTTCCCATAACCCTCAGCAGCCTCCAGGCTTAGAATTTAATTTATAATTTTATCACTTCCATCTAACTATAAATTCGAAAGGTTGGCATTGGTGAAGATAATGGCCCAGCGTTTAGTGTTGGTACATTTCGTCGTATTCCCTGGTCCTTTTAACAGCCTTTTTGTTTTTGTAACTTTTCTGTGAACAGATTTTGCAGTTTGATTTGAGGGGCATACCACTCGACATTTCATCCTCCCTTGGGATTGTTGTGAAGGATTTTGAGACAATTGGACAAAATAAGTAAGTGGATTTCAACTCTTTTTCTCATTTGATATATGATCTTACTGTTGTTTATTTTGTTGAAGGAACACATCTTCAATAACATTTTCATACTTTAATCATACTTTAATTCCATGTCATCTCCCACTTCTGAACCAATATCAGCGGTGGTTAATCAATCATGGTGCTTCTATTCAAACGTCTGCTGGTATATTCCTAAAAGGCTGCAGACACTAAGCCACCACTAGCCTATCAACTTGGTACTTACTCTGAAACTTCTCTGTTAATTGCATAGAGTCATTTCCTACCTCTGATGGTTTAATCTGAACTATAGCTGTATTGTATAGGCCAAATACTTTCTCCCAATTATGTGTGACCCATATACATCTCATTCAAGTGATACTTCCAGCCTCACTTCCTTTTTAATGTCTTATTGGCCTTTTAAACCCAACAGATGTAAAGCAGTTTCCTTGTCTTATTGCCTCTATCCATTTTCAGTGGGGGAGGGAGTGGGATGGTACTCCATGGTGGCACCGAGGGTAGTCCCCTGGGTAAAGCAGGGGGTTCCCAACTAGGTTTCCAGTGGGCAGAGAGACCTCAGTAAATTCACTCCATTCCTTGACCTGGACTCGGGCCTTATATAGACTCAGAAGCCAGTCTTAGGTTAAACAATTCAAACCAAATTAGCTTACAAGAAACCTGTGCTTCATACCAGGTTACTTGTTATTTTCTGATGGAAACAAACGCTTGGCAGGAGGGCATTCCTGCTATCTGATCATTGAATTCTCCTTTATATCATACCACATAAGAAACCACATTACTCTGTATCCTTGATTGTAAGATGTCATTGACCATAATAAGTGCTATTAAATTAATAACAGGTTTGGGGGAGAAGGAAGCCTGATATTAACTACCTGTGTCCATAGTAAGAAGCATCCCAATTTGTAGTAATTTCATTCCTAGTACAACGGGAATGCATTTACAAATGTATGTCTCAGCCTCAGGCACATGTGGTATGATCAGAGGACTGCCATGAGAGCAATATGTTCAGGTAGGGTGACCATGTGCCCAGATTTGCTTAGGACAGCTTGGTTTATGGTTGCAGCACAATGGTTAATAATGCCTCTTTTGCTGTCAGCAGTGGCTTGGTTTGGCCACTAAATTAGATAGATGGTAGCCCTAATCACTTGGGATGTTGGAGGAGCACCGAAGAGGCCAGTCAGGTGCAGCTTAGAGAGCAGGGGAAGCTGGGACAGGGGAAGGAGACGAGATCATCAGAACCTCAGCGCACGGCGTTGTGAGCCACAACACAAGCTTTGGGTTTCAGTCCTAATCAAGCAAAAATCCACTAGAGGGTTTTGAACATGATCTGACTTATATGTTAGAAGGATCACCCAGGTTTTCTGTGTAGTGGAAACCAGTTAGGAGGCAGGGAAAACAATACTGGGAGACTGTTATGTGTTCATTTTACACCTGTTGAAACTCAGTGGGGCCCCTGGATGACAGCAGTGATGGAAGAGGACAAACCCCCACCGAGGCCCACATTGGCACCTACTGTGAGCCTTTGGTGTGTACTTCCGGAGATAGGGTTGATGTGCTGTCTAGCTGGTCCTGGACATTTTTCTTTGCAATTTTGAACAATGAAAGTGACAGTGGACCCTGTTATAAGGGTCCTTCTAAAATTGGGGGTTCCCGTGCATCTTTGCTGAGACAGGTTGCACTTGGTGCCGTGGGTGTCTGCTGAGCAGGCACACAAAATGAGCAGCTGTGTCGAAACCAGTTTGGCTCAGTGGATAGAGCATCAGCCTGCAGACTGAAAGGTCCTAGGTTCGATTCCGGTCAAGGGCATGTACCTTGGTTGTGGGCACATCCCCAGAAGGGGGTGTGCAGGAGGCAGCTGATCGATGATTCTCTCTCATCGATGTTTCTAACTCTCTATCCCTCTCTTTCTCTCTGTAAAAAAATCAATAAAATATATTTAAAAAAAAAAGATTTAAAAAAATGAGCAGCTGTTCCTATAGCACGGTTGGGACTCAGAGTTTTCAGGCCTAACGGAAAAAGGCAGATTCCAGGCCAAACCTGAGGCTGGTTTTCATTACTCTCTCAACCTTTCCCTCCCTCCTTCTGGGAGGTTTCCTCCCCCTGACTTCTCCCAGCACCCCCTGTCCTTATTGCTGCTCCCGGCTCCCACTGGGCCTGCCCTCTGGGCCACATGTGCACCATTTGCCAATTCTTTTCTTTTTCTTCAACAAAACTTGTCTGTCCTGTGGCTCAGTCCTTCAGGGTCCTGCTGGCTGAAAGGAACTTTCCAGAAACAGATGATGGTGGAAGGGCTGCTAAGAGTTCACTGTGCTAACTTCCCAGGAACGATACCCTTGGGACTGAGATCACTATGACTTAGCTGAAGGAGTGGACAACGTGTGAACTCTGGGCCCTGAGGCAGGATCATTGGAGGAGGTCTTTGGTCTTTTCTTAGGAGATGAGTTCTCTGTCCCGCACATTTCCCTGCTTGGTGGTTTCCTGTCTTCCATGAAAGGCGCACTCTATCTGCTCTGGAGTGAACACTGCGTGATAATGATGCCCTGGGATGTCTGTCCTCTTACCCTCCTCCCCCAGCAATTGTGACCTTTGGCCTTGTTTCCTACAGCGAAACAATGCGTAGACGTTAGTCACATCACCTGCAGGAGAAAAAGTATACTCATAGCTGTGTGATTCTTCGAACTGTTTGTGTGTTTTGGCCCCATCTCTTCTTCTTGGCTTTGCCACTAAAGCTTCGGCCCTTGAGGACTGCGCACCACTCAGTGTTGGAACATTTTCCTCACCTGGAAGCACAGGGCGGGGGCATTGGATTTTTCCTCCCAGCTTAAGGAATGTCTTGCCTGTTAACTTTCCTGTTGCTGTGGAGACAGGCTGTGCAAATATGTCTGCTGCTCTAGGCTCTCGCATCTGCTGCTCCGAGGCCTGTAAGCAAACAGGGCCAGGCTGCCTGGCTTTGCCTGTGTGTCCATGCCCACACCCACAGCGACTGTCCCATCCAATCCAAGGAAGCACAGTGCTTGTGTGTCACTAGCATCCCTCCTCAGTCATTGGGAGAGGGCTGGGCATTCAGTGCAGGCTCTGTTCTTCCCCACTTTATAGTCATCCAACCAGCCAGCCAGGCAGAATGATGGCAAGAGAAGAGTTGGAGGAGCCTCTTGGTCACATGAGGAGCATGAAATGATATTTTTAGCTGAAATGTCAGAGTGGAAGAATTTTCTCAGCAGCTGAAGAATGAGAGTTCCCTTCAAACCACGGCCACCAATCAATGAGGATTTAGGGAGTGCCAACTATGCTGAGTCTTTGAATGCATTATCCCATTTAATCCTCTTAGACTCCCTAGGAGGCAGGTCCTGTTTTTTCTCAGAGAGGTTAGTGATCTGCTCAAGGTCACACAGTAGGTATGTGTCAAAGTCAGCATTTATATCTAGGCCTGTACTCTTTTTTTTTTTTTTTTTTTTTTTTTTTTTTTTTTAAGGGTATGGTTTTATTGAGAAAGAGGAAAAGAGAGGAGAGAGAGAAAGAGAAAGAGAGAAACATCAATGTAAGAGAAACACTGATTGACTGCCTGCAGCATGCCCTCCCACCAGGGATTGAGCCTGCAACCTGGGAATGTGCCCTGACCAGGAATCAAACTGGCGACCTTTTGGTACATAGGACAATGCTCAACCAACTGAGCCACATCAGCCAGGGCAGGCCTGTACTCTTGACTTTTACACTGTACTGAAAAGCTAAAGGAACCAAAATGTAGGTGGAATGATTGGCTATCTTTTGGCTAAAATGGAAGTAATTTTTCTAATTGAAAAAAATAAAAGAACACTCACTATCTACTGATAGCTCCTCCCTAGGTGAAAATTTTAAGTAGGCATTTTTATACTATTGAGTACTAAAGCACTCATGCTCATGCCCCACAATGGACAAGATAAATTCAGACTATAGCTCATCTTCACCATGACCTTAAGCAGAGGAGAGATTTGAGGCTCAGAGAGGCTGAGCCTGGGACACTGATCTCTTGGCATCCTGGTCCTGTTGAACTCCACTTGAGTTCCTAAAGAAAAAAATCTTCAGGTATTTGGAAATGTAGGAATGAGAGATATTTACAAATGTGTGTGTGTGTGTGTGTGTGTGTGTGTGTGTGTGTTAGGTTTTAGACAAGTACTCAAGGATATGTGTGGTCCATGCATCTGCTTCACCTCGCTCAGCTTTCACCACCATCTGAAATGTTCTTATCAATTTACTTACTAATTTGGCCTTCTACTAGACAGGAAGGTCCATAGCCATAGTCTTCAATGCTTTAACACCAGCACTTAGCCCGGCTCTTAGTAGGCCCTCAATAACTGTTTGTTGAATGAATGAATGAATGAACAAGTGAGTTTATGATACAACCACATCAACGAAATGTAACATTTCTAAAGAACCATGCATCTAACAACTAGCCCACTAATAATGGGCCATTTATATGAATACTGTCCAGCTCAGCTCTCTGGAACAGCTTTCTGATTCCAACTTAGGTTGAAGCTACAAAGGAGTCAGAACATCACGGGGGTCGGATCACAAGAGAAACAAATACCTGTCCCAAAGGTCATGCTGTTTTATGTGGAGCTTCTCCCTGACACAACAAAAAAACTGGATAAAATATATATAACAATAGTTTTGGATATTGGAAATTGGCAGCACAGGATGGTGATCCCCGAGAGAGAGGGGAGATAACTGTGAGCATCCAATATAATGCCCAGAGACCATTTCCAGGCTGCAGGGAGAGTGAACTCATCAGATCCACCCTGGTTGTCTCTCAGAGTTGGGAGGTGCAGATGGAAGTCTAGAGCCACACACACACACACACACACACACACACACACACACGACCCCTGATTACAGAGTTTTCTCTTTAACACTTCAATTGAGTACTGGGCAGTGAGGAAACTACTCTCTGAGGCAGGGAAAAGAGCCATCTGAATATTCCTTAAAACACACACAGGGCTAGG